CATTAAGACTCAAAGATATAAAAACACTAGAAAACATAGTATATGAAACTTTGGAGAGTGCTGCTCGAGAAAGAAAAAATAATGCACGAGAAATCGTTTCGGCGAACACTTTTGACCGCTACTGTAGATTACTGGCCTTCAATTGACGTGGCATCTTCGATGACCGCATGATTGCCGCAAACAGCATTGAACCTTGAACTTGAGCTTAACTCTTCAAAAAGCTACCTAATTCCTCAGGACACCATCCATCTTCTTTACCGTAATAAAAATAGACCATTTCCTTGTTAGTTATCAGCGAGCTATCAAAGTCGGTCACCTTAACAGCATACAGTAAGCAAGAAAATTTGAGCCGTAGAAGGATTAGAATTCAATTTGGAGGGGAGTAGGGATTTCACAAGCAGTCGCAAAATTATTACCTGTCAGACCACTTGTTGCATAAACTGTTCAAAACGTTGACGACAGCGCGAGGCACATGCGCTTCACACCTTGAGCACCATGCGGGACAGCGTGAAGCGCATGCGCTTCGCGCCTATGTCATTTTTTTCTCGAGCACATATGCTTCTTTTCTATTTCTGTACTAATTCTATAAGTGACACCATAATATAATTGCACACGGCGAGGTTCACCGAATGGTAGACTAGGCTCATGTTAACGAAGGAGCGACCGCTCCAAAAAAACACTCTAGGTCCACTGCAGGAAAAGCAACTAAAATTTGCCTTTTAGCCAAGACAGTCAATTTGAGCAGACTTTACTGCTGTACCTTCAAATAGGTTGAGCACATTGAATATCACTTCGTTTTTGGAGCTTAAAATTCACGGATATGAGGTGGGAAACAGCGCCTGCAAAGTCGCTCTGGTCCCATGGGGCGAAAAAAATCCAAAACACACGTTGTCGCCAACGTGTTAACTCTACTTTCCATGTATAACTAGTACAAATGAATACTCATAATACTAAGAATGTTAGATACGATACTGATTTGTGACACTTATCAAGCTCAAAGTAAGTAATGGTGACGAACAGATGAAATAGAACTGTACCCTATTCAATTCATCGTGCGACATATGGACAATATTACGAAAAACATTCATGTTTAAAAGCTCTGCTGCTGACATAACAACATCTGGCGGCACCTGTAAAAAACAACTTGTCAAACATCAGCTTCACTGAAGTCATCGTAAAGTAAGGACCGTACCATTTCCCCCGTGAGATTCCATGTAACTAGCCACTGCTTCAGCGACTCCGGCAAAAAGTCCAGCCAGAAGGACATCGACTTTGCTAGCCAATCGTTGGCATCCAGGGTCTTTAAAAAACAAATCATAAGAGAAACTGCTGAATCACCAGCTCATGGCAAGAGTAGTTTTGACGCAATTCGCATAACTGACAACATTTTCTGACCTCCAATTCGCATTAACTGATCAACATACCGAAAGTTATATCGCTTAAGACGCCGGCAAAACCATACGGGCAAGCGTGGGGGGAAAAACTAGCTTATTTGTGTCACGGAGCATGTGAGAAAGGACACGCGCACAACTCTCTCACCTACTCAATGTGTCCATTCACTATGTTTTACACACTTATTATTTCAATTTTCGATAGCTCTGTGACTCACATAGTGAAAAAAATACTAGCCGGCATGGACATTTAGCTCCTAACCGACTACTAGGCTTGCGACGCTGTTAAGATTTTACTTCGATTTATTTGCGTTAATAGGCGGGAAAGTGATATTGTCGATGCAAAAGTTGTTAGGATCGTTTGCTGGCCGAGCTCCGTTCTTTGCTATCACCACACTGTTTAGAATGATTTTTCATTACGATTCAACCCGCGCTTGCCTTAGGGATTGTACGTTAAAAGGAGTATAGTAATAGAACAGTTTCTAGACGCTTCTCCTGAATGCCATGGCGCAAATCTCGCAGTGTGGTTTGTATCAAGATATAGCTAAGACCAAGGCTAAATGGACAGAAAGCTCACTCGTGTCGACTGAAGTTGAACGGCTGGAAATATGAGGTAAAGAAGCCTTATGTGTTCTATGAAGCCACTGGTAGCAAATAAAACAGCGAGAAATCCAGCGGCAATTACCGCTTCCCAAGCCCTCAACATAGGCCGATCTGCGGCCATCTAAACCGAGCTTACATCCGCCTGAGCGCACTATATAACCTCGCCTTCAAATGAACCAAATTGTGCAGTCGCAGAAATGACCGTGGATTAACGTGGCATCGATTGCAGAACACGTTGAGCGCACGTGATGTCACCTTTTCATCGAGCACGTGGCACACGTGTGCTCAAGATGTTCTTGAGTCGATGCGCGTTATGCCACGTCAAATTCTGCAATTGCACAATTTCTCGGTTATTGAAGGCGAGTCGTAACTAGCATCACAAAATGAAAAACATACTGCAAGAACTCGTTTGAGTCGCACACCATTCGGAGATTCGGCCATTCTCTCGACTGTGGGGAACAATCCAATTGCTTTTCTAATATTGAAATCATCTTTTATATATGGGAGTATTCTGAAAACATTTCAGCTCTGAATAACACAAAAAACATCCCCACATGATTAGGGTAGATTGACTAAGTTCTTTCAAAACGCTTTTTACTGACATCATGTCCACATAATCGTTTCTAAGTATGGAAAGTGCAACTTCAATTATAGTGGAAGCCGAGAAGAAATCCGAAAGAGAGCCGAGGGGATTCGAATCAGAAAACTAGACGTTTAACATCGACAAGCTTTTGCTAGCTATTTATCGCTGCACTAAGGGCAACGTTATCGCTCTGTCCGGCCAAATCTTTTCCTTGCTGGGAGCTGGGTTGGCAGTGAATTTCGGAAACTACTCAAACCAAGCATAAAATGGGGTGAATTATTAAAGGGCAGGACAAGTTTTGGTAGGTGACAGTACCCACAAAGAGAGTGAACCGCCTAATAAATGGCGTACAAAAGAGTTGAGCAGGGTTCAGCAAGTTACCGAAATCACAAAATGACTCCCATAGAAGCCTCTAATTATGATAAATATAAACAACAAGCTTTTATTAAGTGATGGGAAGGCCGAACTGCCAACGCTTCTAACTCTCCTTACTTTCATCACGATGCCCCCAAACTTCCTCTTTAGTCGGGACCCCTCCCTAATTCATTAGAAAGTGGCAAAACACAAGTTTGCTATGTGAAGCACTGATTCAAAGTGCGTCGCTCCGGGAACAATTAAACATGAAGTTAGGCAAGTCGCAGACTTTGCGATTCACGTTTGCGATTCTGGAAGTGTGCAATCAGTGTTCAAACACAAATACGTACAACATGCAAAACACACTGCCGTTCACGTGAACTAGTTTCGTTGCGCCCTGTTCACGTGATTTACAAGGGCTAAGTGTGTGACGATGATGGCTGTGGAACGGTGCCGGAATCGCGATCGGCGGAATAGCCAAGTTCTGACACCTGCCTCAGAAACTGGTGAATACATCGCTATTGAAGAGTCGCATCATCTTGATTTGTGATTGAGATTAATAGTTAAGTAAAAAGAGAACGGAATTTCGAGAGAACAAGAACCATTCCTGCAGAAAAAGTGAACTGGAAGAGATGAAACTTCATACCTGAGCATCATGTATGCTCCTATACTGTGACCTAGTATATAGATTTTCTGAGCTTTTGGAAGGTGCTCTCTAACAAAATCAAGTTTATGTTGCACTTGAGCTTCAAGCTGGAAACGATCTGAAATATAGCCACAATACGAAAAAAGTCACATCGAAATGAAAGAAGTTTCAGACACAAAAAAAAGCTTATTTCTGGAGTATAATTACTTTTATTTGGCAAATTCAGACGGCCGGACAGCTATCAGAAACGGGCAAGAGGATCTGTGAAGCACGCTCGAACTGCTAAGGTTATTTCAAGAAAAGAAGCTAATCAGCGACTAAAATGAAAAGAAATTCGAGGTGGAAACGAAGACAAGATATAGATAGATAGATGAAGATGAAGTGATGGGAACGGTTAGTGAATGGAAAGAGTCCGAAGCCTACCACCTCCGCAATGTTAAATGGACGAAAAACATACTGAAAATTGCAAGGTTACGTTGCAAAAGTTATGTAGCATTCAGATCAATTTCATTACTAGGAATCACCTTACGTCAACAGCTTCCGATAGAAGAAAATCGCCGAAAAGATAGTGTTTCCAGGGACTGATGAAGAAAGAACGCGAAGAAGAAAAGTGAAAGGTCATCTCCAAAGATCAGTGGTTTTTATACAAATGGGACATTAGAGGAGGATTCCACGATAAGGTCGAAGATCGAAGAAGGAGAAGTTATCTAGCAAAAAGACAAGCAGGCTCTCTAAGGATGAGCCAAGCGAGGATCCAAGCCAGTCAAGCGTTACTCCTCGGATGATGTATAGAAGATGATTCACCAGCTTCATTGGCGTAACCTTCGTTATGAATTGCTCAGACCGAGCGACGGACTTTTGGCTCGTCTGGGCTGGCACGCGGCAAATTGCACGTAGGCAGCGCGGCGATCCGGACGAGGCAACCCTTCGTGGGCTTCTGCAGGGAATTTACAGGTTGTCTTAAAAGTTCGTGCGCATTTCTTGGATCTCATGCCACGAGCTCTTTCAGCAAATATTGAATAGGTTCGCGTTGGCTTCAGAGCACGAGATGGGGCTCTACATTCTTTGGAGCGTTCTCGGTTTACCACTAGAGACATCTCCCTCTCCCTCATTTCACTAGGACGATCGCAGTATGGTAGTCAAATGAGGGGATTCAGCCATAAACGCAACGATCTGTTTTAAAATATCGAAAGTGATGTTCGCGTCACGATAACCGAGACGAGCACCGTTTCGAAAGATCGCGACTCGTATGTATCGAAGCTTAAGTGATAAAAGTCCTAAGCATCACGTGAAGCGTGATCAAATTTCTCGAAGGAATTGTTTTTGCTCAGCAATCATCCTCCCACAAAAGATACAGATTTCCAGCCCTTCTTCATTCCTTTATTCAGCTCTAACTACCATTTTCTGGTGAGCCTCGAACGGGCACTCTTCGGTTGCTCGTTGGCCAAAATCACTGATAGTGCCGGTGAATTAATTGATAATAGGTAGTGCATGTGCTTGAAATGGAGTAGGCTCGAAAAGAAATTCGAAATACACACGAACGTTTGAGAAAACTTAATAATAGGCCAAAGCGTGTGCAGAACGTATGTAAAATCTGCAAGGTTCTGTGGTGCGAACTACTTTCCACCGCGTGGAGATTTGGAATAGCGATGATGGTAAGGAAATTTCAGTGGGAAAAGATTAGAAAGACATAACGATCAGGGCGCTCATATCGGCTCATATCGTGGGGAACGGGGTGAGGACATTCAAGGGAGTGAGCCATTTACTGTGCTTGAAATAAGTTTCAAATAGGAATTCCTGGGGAAGATGTGAGCAATTTGTGTTCCCCAAACATTTCTCCCCTCTCCTAGGTTCAGTCGTAGCGTCACTTATGATCAGGCCTTTTTTGTATGTTCCCCCTAAGGGCATGAGCGCCTCAATCAGCAAGCATATATGGTTGGCATAACTGTCTCACCGGTCATTAGGCTAACCCGGCCGAATGGAATGAGGTGCACATTTCTGTACGCAACATGAGACGCTGAACTCAAATCTGCTTTCACTATCTGCTGGACTCTTCTCTGAAGGGGAACAGAGTGTTTTTGTTGCCGCTCTTGATTTTCAGTGCCTTGCCTGCAGTCACATGTTAGCCGATATAAAAGTATCAAAAGGAGAACCGAGGCATCGATGAGGTGAGCTTCAACAGTGCAGGTAGTGCGGTCTTGCTTCTCAAGTCAGTGGTCGCAGGTTTGGTTCCTTACGGGATTTGGTGTTTTGGTTTTTTTTTCAACATGCTGAAAAGCCTTCTTCATTCCGTTATTTTATCAACGGTAGCCTGACGCTACATTTACGAAGAGTTCGCAAGCAGATCCTTTTAAGTTTAAGCACTACTTGCCTGTGAGTGCCCATGGTGCCCGTAGCGCAGGTGTTACGCTTTTCCGTGGTTAGTAGTCAGGTGACCAAACTACCCCCAACGAGTTTTTCGCCAAATCTGAGGTGATGAACTAGTTGAGAAAAAGCGGAGCAGTGATGGGATTGCCACTCCTCAAATTCCACTCTTTTGGGTTGTCCAATCATGGACGACGGGGAAAGGGAAAGGAAGGTGTTGTATTAGGAAATAACGCTTTGCAGATCTTTGGATGATACAAAAGGGTAAGCCAGACCTAATTTTGTCTATTATGAAGAGGGTTAGAAAGGTTTATTCTAGTCAATTGCCAGCTTTTTGTAATGGATTGGTTGATCGGTGAGTAAGTGACAGCCCAAATTTTCAAGATTGAGTCAATTTCAGGATTCGCCAGAAGTTTGCATAAAGGGAGAGCCTGGCTCTCTGATCAGGAATATAATGCTTGTTCGAAGCAAAAGTGCCTGATGCCTGCGCTACAAGCACCCGAAGTGGTGAGGAACGACGCTGCCCAAGTTCGGTATTAATTGCTCTTAAATTCCTTGTACTGTTGACTATACGCAACCATGTTGGACTAGCGATGTTAGCAGTCTTCCTAACTATCTTACTGCAAACGGCAAAAGAATAAACTCGCCAGGGAGTTGATCCCCTGACCTCTTTTTCGTGAGCCTCGACCACGGCCCCTGGGTTCTTTGCTTCATAATGCCTTTCAGTGAAGAGTTCAGCAGATGAGGAACATACAATTGAGCTCAGTAAGACCCAAGGCGCGTATACACATGTACATCTCAGTTCAAATGGCCGGGTTGACCAAATGACCTTTCCTGGTCAGTAAAAACTCTTAGCTTTAGTGTTCCTTATTCGTTTGGATGATATTAGTGACATTTCCGAGAAGGACTTCTCTCATCCTTTTGCGCTAAAACCATCCCACCAACACCGCTGCATTCAAATCTTCGTCTCTCAAAGTTTTCTCAAACCACAGAATCATGTAGAGTGCCCAGCAATCTGCACACGCTTTGACGTGTTGGATTTTGTTGCAGAGCCCGTGAAGCCCTGCCAAATCCGGATCGCCGCGCATTTCGCCGCGTGCCAGCCCGGACGAGCTAGAAGTCCCGCACTCAAAGAGACCTGCACTTTTTGCTCCCCATGATGCAGATTTTGGAACAGAGGGAGCCTGAACGAAGGCAAAAATTCGAAAAACTTTTTCAGAGAAAACCATAAAGCTCTTAGATAATGGTAGTATGTTGTTTATAGTAGCGACACTAAAATGGCTTCAACTAAGAACACAATCTGGCGCGGAACTCACCGTAAGGCTTATGTTTACCAGAACTTTTCAGTTCGTTCGGCAAGACGACATGATTAAGATGTGAAACAGTATAGAATAAATAGTGTAGTTTTCGATCACCCACTCGCTCCTCTCTTGACAGCAAACACTTCACAACCCGTTGACCGAAGTCGGCATAGAATCCCTCATTTCCAGGATTGCCTAGAAGTAACAAACCAAATTTACTGAGAAGTACTAGGAATTTTCAGTAATAATGAACTAGGTTGTTCAAACACGTTGGGACTCCAACCTGGTATCATCAGAATCACAACACGATCATCGACGTCGCCTTTATTTTCTCGATCCAGGACGTCAGCAGAGAGACTGGTGCCAATGATGGACATACGCGTCCATCGGCCTCCGACTAGAACCCAGTCGACACGCCGGCTAATTTCGCGCAGCATTCTAAAATACTAGTGAAAAGATGAAAATCGAGTGAAGACATCGCAAATCACAGATTCGAGGTTGGCACACTTGGAGAACCGTCTTTCAGTACATGGACACACTTGATCTCTTCATAACACTTCTGTATATATTATAGCATCATTTGCAGCCCTTTCAATCCACAAAAACTGAGCAAATTTTTTGAAGGCACTTGCCTCCAGTATTGAAATATATTCGTCCAGAAGTTTCTGGCATGCCAGAAATAGTTCTTAACTCAAGAAAAAATAAACCAGGCTGATTTCCAAGGAATATTTATCATGGACATAATTCAAATAGTTGAATGCCGGTTGGAAGGGTGAAGTGGCAAGCGGCGCTACCTACCATGCGCGCGGTCTGGGAATCAAAAGATGTATCGTGCGCCGTCCGGGCCAGCCAAGTCTTCCATCCTCCTGGTCGATTAATTGGTACCAGACTTGTCTGGGGAGATAAAAACGCTGACTTGTGCATCGGCTGGCCTCGCAAGTCGCATAGGTCAAATCGCATTCGAGTTGCCACAACGATTCCGAACGGGGGTAGAATGTGTGGCGCAACCCTTAAATGGGATTGATCAATTATCCTTTATGCTGATCGCCATCCATACAACCTTACGATACTTGGAATTCATTAACCCGAGAATCTGAGAGATGGACGCATAGGTAACGCTGCGAGCTGATGATAAGACAGAAAAAAAGCACGAGTGTGTGGTAAAATGTGCCATCCCCTGGTAAGCAACGGCGGATGTACTCCAGTACCTGCGGATAACTTCAGGTTGGCGACAATAGTCCCTGCACGAAAAGAAAATGGGGAGATAACTTTTTAAACATCACAAATGAAAGTGCATTCTGTGCCGAAAACTTAAATCTACGTCTCTAATTTCTAAATGGTGTCAGTGGCAAATCCAATGGTCCGTTATCGCTGAAATCCGAAATTCGCCACACACACACACACGAAATCGCCGCTCTGACATCGGGCTTAATTCCTAACTGCACAGTCGCCAACAACGAGGATTTTTTGAGCAGATACCCTCATCCACTAATCAACTTAGTCACGCAAATCTGACTGCTTTGATTGCGTGGTCACTCTATTGTGTTCGAATCGTCGAGCTACTCAAACAATCGAAAAGTAATACGCAATGGAAGTGGCATGTGAAGTCGCCTTGCAAAAACTAAAATCGTATAGAGACGCGCGAGCAGAAACCACCGCCCGATGGATCGTAGGCACCGGTCCTGCCAGACGATGGTGCTGTGCTGACTGTTACAACAAATGAAAAGGAAATTGTTAAAGGTGCGCCGTTAAAAAAAAAGTTTCAAATAACTCAAAAAGCGCATGAATTACCACCGCTGTTCCAACCCTATTGATAAATATACGGTCACTCTAAGTCGGCGACACTCATTGGAAAAAGGGACTGCTTCCTATGTGCTTTACTATTCGCATGCGCCGCCATATTGATTCGCAAGAAACCCGAAAGAGTCCAAAGTAAGTGCCCACTTGAAAGTGGATGAGAACTTCGTTTCCACGCCTGACGTTACCGATAGTGCATACCAGAAACGGACCTGTAGACCACTGCACAATCGAGTGTCGCGGTTCAGGGACCGACGGTCTGGGCGCATCCGCCGCGCCAAATCTGTCGCGCTCGCTGTCGAGTTGGCGCGCATGCACCGACGAGCCGGGGCTTCTCCCGCCTCCGCCACGCCTCTAGCCAAGATATATAAGAAGGCCGCTTCTGCCAGTCGCCGTCCTCGCGTTCCTTTTGGGGCGACCGTCGCGATACACAAGAAAGCGATACGGCTAGGTGCCTGCTAGCACCCCCTCAGCAATATTTGGCAACTGTCCCTCGTTCGTTCGGACCTGCAATCAAGTCGCTACATATCCGAGGATCATCTATCGGCTGCAGGCACNGTTACCACTGTTACCNCGGAACGCAATGGGCGATTTCAAGCGTTGGCCGGGCTTCTCCACGCTCGGCAGGAAGTTAAGTGGTAAAATGTCATGGAAGTTATCATCAATAAATTGTGAGTCAAATATACTGTTGCGTACAACAGCACACGGGAAGCTTGAATGAATGCCAGAGCGGGGGCACGACCGAGGCGCAATGGGTCTTCATGTACTGTCACTGCTATGGGATTGTTACTACAGGGGATGGCCCAGAAGACCCCGTTCCTGGGTTGGGAACCCGTAAGGCCCTGGGTACGGAGGTCAAGCATGAGAGAAAATGCGTGATTCCCGGGAAGGATTCGTAGATCGAAAAAATGCGTGATTCCCGGGAAGGATTCGTAGATGTGCCTAGGAAAGGCTACGGTGCTCCGAACCACCTCGATGCGTCATGTTGGAGGGTTAGGAGGGCAACCGCTCCCGTACCGCGACACGAGTGAGTATGCCCATCCCATTTCTAGATTAGATAAACTCTCCAGCAGAAATATATAGGGTATGGGAAACAAAGTGTACTAGCTCGTTAACAAGGACCAATGACAAGGAAGTATTTTTGGGTGCGCCCCTGAAGGCGGGGCCTGCGGACGAAGGTGTGGATCACGGGTCGAGCGAGCTTCTAGCGCAGTTGTCGGGCACTTCCAAATCGCGAAAGGGGTGTGATATCAACACTTGCCCGCCTGTCTACTACGACTGGGGATGGAACACGTAGGGTACCCGACAGAAGGCGCGGAGGGTCGCGCGGCAAGAAGGCAGCGTCAGCGGAAGAGTCGCAGCGCGTACTGACCACTGTGCGTCCCACATCGTACATCATGCGCCGCGATTCGCCCGCTGACTCTGCCTTCTTGCCGCGCGACAGGCCTTTTGTCGGGTACCCGGAGCAGGTAAGTGTGCCTAATCCTGGACCATGCCTTAAAGCTTCAGGAAGGAGAGGAACTCGAGGTAGATGAACCACTGGTCACGTATGCAAATAGATTAGGATACGGAAATGATGTATAAGATGTACGACAATTACCAGTCTTTATTGACGATTATACTACTTCAACTATACTTTGCGTGTTATCAATACGGCGCTCGTGGTCGTGAGAGGTAGTACATTCAAAATAGGACCGATATCCAGCAATGACCGCGAGGTCGAAATTTTACTGTTCTCTACAGCGTAAGCAAGTAAAACTTGCATTTCTTTGCCATCAAACTTCCTTCCTATCGGAATCTACTATTATACCCCCCCCCTTCCCTGGATAATTTCTACGCTTTGACATCGCTAGAATTTCTTCGCACTGATCATGATTTATTTTATCCCTGAAAATCCATAGATGTGAGGCTAAGTGGCCGTGCGATAAAATCGCACATCCACGCGACCAAAACACCCAAAACGCGCGCTGTCGTCAATGTGCTAATGACCCATCACCGAGTTTTACAAAGGCTAGGAAGGGGGGAGGTGCCACAGCGAACAGGTCGCTGTAAAAAAGAACGCGAAATTTCGGAGATTCTCTACACATTGGTTAATCTATATCAAGTATAGATAATACACATTTGAAAGAAACACGAACGTAAGCAACTTCGTTGCAATTCAATTGAAAGAGATGAGGAAGAAAGAGAAGGTATCAGGTGTTCTGTCGTTTCCAACCCTATTTTAAATGCGCGTATCTTGGCCTTAGACTGAACTTTCGGAGTAGATTAAAAACCATTCGAAAACGCGAATCTATTTTCATATAAGAAGCTGTTCCACACTGCCACGTTACATTTTCTCGGAATGCTTGGACCTCAGGAGGCGATGAACTGAGGAAGTCGTTGTTAGCATCAGTTGGGGTTTTGATGTATTTCTCTTCAACGGAACTAGGCGCGAGCATCGTCAGAAATTTGACAGTAGATAGATTAAAGGTCTACTAAGTGAGATGCTCGCAGAACCACTCTGAAGTTCAGCTGGTACAACATGTGAAGGGTTGGCCGTGCGATCTGCGTTCAAGACACCTTTCAGGGATGTGTGCGTTCCTTTATAATGAGGAATGCTGGACCCATGCCTCAGAGTTTTTGATGATTTTTGACTTAATATAAAGACTGATTCTCCACTGTAACAGTTCCACCTGATACTGAAGAACATGGCCGGACGCTGACCCCATGAAAGCTGCCACAACCCTCCTCCAGCACCGTTAAAATTCTGCAAAGTTTGTAGAGCTTCATCGCCGTCGATCTATTCAGCAAACCTCCGTGGACTATAGAGAGGAATCTCGCTCTTTATTGTACGTCGCAAATCTGTAGAGAAACGAGTCGCTTTTATACATAAAACAAGCGACAATTTGATGGACGACCCTTCAAATTGGTGATTTGTCGCGGCACGCCCCTATCCAATTTTTTGGACTTACCGGGTTCTTCCGTATAGCTTGGCTGTACAAACCATATACGCTCAGGTTAAGCAGAACCTCCTCTATGGTCTTACGCACGAGTGCTTCAATCAGACCTTTTGTCTAATCGGAGACACCGTCCGATATGCGACCACTACTGTCATCATATTCAAGGCTCTCGCCTTCGTTACAACAAATTTTTAACTACTGCTTCTGAGCACATTTATTGCAAATCTAGGCCCAAAGCATCATTAACATCTTGAACTACTCCCGCCATTTTCAGGTCTATTTAAAGCTAGAAGAACAAAGTCATGCCAACTTGCTCATCGAGTATACCGCATTCGAAGCTTTGAAAAAGCTACAATAAAATAACTTTAGAGCGAAGCTGAGCTAAGCACTGGATAGAGCTGGAAAAGCTCTTCAAGATGATATAAACATCAATTGCAGCTTTCCCAGATATCAAGGAAAATAAAGCATCCAAAAGTGGAGTGTCAGAAAACGACGGAACTTTCTGAAACACGTAATAAAACGGGTGATTGCGTCAGCACAGAGATATATAGTGATATATATAAAAGGCGTGAAGAAAACGCGACGCCGGCGGCTAACGGCATGACATTGAATGATGACAAGGGCGAATCCCCCAGAACTTCTCATCTAGGACAACAGTCTAATAAAGTCAGGCGAGTAGAAAAAGAAAAGGTCAGGAAGTG